GCAGACCCTGGTTTTGGATCTAGCCAGGCCAAGGAGATGTTGGACCATCTTGAGAGTGTATTAGCCAATGAACCTGTTACTATGAAAAGTGGTCAGTTTATTGTTGAAGTGAAACCACAGGTATCTACTTATTTTTTGGTATTCTTTTTTCAATATGTTTTCTATGGTAAATGTAATAGTAGATTACTTTGCCTTAGTCCTATACTTGGGCTGTAAGTTTAGTACTTCTCAGGCTTTACTAAGGCAGTATTTTAGAATAAGAGGAAATACTTTTGTGCAGTAAGGTTAAGAAAATCATAAAATAGAAATGAAACAAGTAAACATCCATATTTGAATTGGTTATTTTGTTATATCATAATTTTGGTTTTGTGATTGGATGAATACATGATGTTGGATCAACATTTACTATTGCTTTTAGGGAGTCAATAAAGGTGTGGTTGCCGACAAGATCTTCTCGATCATGGCTGAGAGTGGAAAGCAGGCTGATTTTGTTCTCTGCATTGGGGACGACAGATCTGATGAGAATATGTTTGAGATCATCAGTAGTGTGATTTCCAGTGGTGTACTCTCCTCAAATACATCCGTTTTTGCCTGCACAGTTGGTCAGAAACCTAGCAAAGCCAAGTATTTTTTGGATGACCCAACTGAGGTTGTAAACATGCTCGAATCTCTTGCAGAGGTTTCAGATACTGAACCCTCCCTAGATACCAGACCAGAAGGCTCCCTTTGAAATATCCTCTATGGCTTTGTATATAATTTTGTCCCTGTTATTCTTTCAGCCGATTGGGAAGAAGACCTGTGATGAAGAAGGTAGATATAATTTTTCTGCTGAAAATGACATTCCTGGGCCATGTGTCTTGGTTATCTGGCCATTTGAGTCATAGATATGAGCAACTTTCTTCACGTGAACTTTGAAAGGGAACGGTTAAGGAGGACAAGTGCCCTGACTAATTTTTTTTTTGGTTGCCCATCCCTAGGCTAATTTAGATCAGCTTCGATCCGGATCGTACACCTGACTTTGATGGATGAGTCTCACAGCAGGGATTTTCAGCATACACAAGGACTCGAACTTGAGACATTACTTAAGCAATATTAAGTTGTTTACCACTTAAATTAACTCGTTGATAATACTGTCAATCAATTCATAGATGAGAAAAGTTACCGAGATTTTCCTTTGTGCAGTACAACCAGATAGTATCATTAAAGGACCAAACTCCTCCCGTTGATGGTGGCAGGTCTTAGCTAGTCGAGTGAAAGATTTCATGTAACACTCCCAACCCGTATCTGATTCAAATACGAGTCTGAGGTGTTACTTTGACTTTTCAAACGTTTTTCTTTACAAATAACAGAATATATTCAATTTCATAAACTCAAGAAAATAATTTCTTTGCATTAATTAAAATCAATTGATTTTACAAAACTTATCAGAGCGTATTCAACTCAATTTTATTAATATATGACAACTATATTTAAAAGAACAAAGTATATATTAATCATTACTTTTTTTATCTGAACTTTGTAATTCAAAAGAACAAAATATATATTAATTACTTTTTTTATTTAAATTTTGTAAGGGAAATGCTGATATGTCTTGTTCCTCTTAACTTCTCTTTTTGCTTTCCAAACATACGTGTGAAACATTCACACGCTAAGTCGATGACTTAGTGATGCATATAAACATATAATGGAAACTCTAACTCATAACAATGCATGAACACTTAATATTCTTATATCATGCATAAACATATAATCTTTCATATAACAAATACACACACACACACACACATATATATATATATATATATATATATATCATCATCTTCACACTTAGCACTATTGTCAATCCTTCTTATTATATGATCTTTTATTCACTAAATGTGCACATCATATATTACTTAGAGCAATTCACAAAGAATCAAACATATCATCATAAGATTTCTATAATTCATCTCTTATCACCTAATTATATATATCACATATATAAGGTGTTTGTTATTATCTCTGTCTTAACCCATGTATACATATGAAAACTAAATATATGTGAGTACATTGAGGTTGTGCATACATATGCTGTCACTACAGCTCGTATAAAGGTCCATTAAATGGCATATGAAATCTGTGTCACGAATGACCTATCCATATGTTCCGAAGAACATATGTAACTGTCCATATGTCCCGAAATACATAGGTAATCCTGTCCATATGTCCCGAAATACATAGGTAATCCTGTCCATATGTCCCAAAGGACATAGGTAAACTATCCATATGTCTCGAAAAACATAGGTAACCCTTGACTCTTGGCATGCCAACTATACCTCTAGCTCTCATGACATATAACATGGGCATTATTATTTATAATTTCACATATTAGCATGTACATATCACTGTTCATATGATTTCATATTCATATGTCACTTATCTTATAACATTTCTCATGTGTTCATATAACATGTATATCCTTTCCATCTCTTGTTCACATATGTTTCCCGTATATAATTTATATCACATATTCACATATACACGTAGATCACTTGCACTTAGAACATTTTCATATAAAATCACGTATCACGTGGCTTATAACTTGCTCTTATATTTCATAAACATATGCTCTTATAACTTCTTGTCGTATTACTCTCATAAAGTCTCATAACCTTTCTTGCATAATCATTTATACCATATAATCTAACTTATACTTGATTATCTTATGTTAACATATATTTATATAAAATGATTCTTTAACTTATAGCTTATGTCACGTGTTCATCTCATTTCTTATGTCCTTATCACGTAGCTTATTTCATATTCTTATATAATCATATAGATCATTTGTATTGTTCACATAACTTATTACACTAACATGTATTTATACAAATCATGTAACTTACATAATAACATGTCAACACATATACTCATGCACACATATAAATCATAACAAACACATACTTCTATCTATGAATTCATGCATTTTACTATTGGAAATAGACTTATCACAAATCTTATTTCCCATTAAACATCATATATTAAATAATGTGCACTCACCTGGCTGCACTAGTCAATACCGAACCATTATATCTTTTCGATGACTATTACTTCTAACTTGTCTGGACTTTGCGATATCTACACAATCATGTACACATATTAACATTCTAAATACTATGATTCGATCCTTGATTTCTTAAACTATAAGAAAGAGTAAATCTCAACTTTCTCTTGCAATGGTATCAATACATCCCTTCACTGAGGTATCGGTACACTACCTAGGTGCCGATACCCAAATTACATTCGATAACTTTTCATTTCAAGGGGTATCGATATCATCCTTAAGGTATCGGTACCCTTTGAATTTCTTCATGAATTTTTACTCTTGAGGTATCGGTACCCCTTGCCCAGAATTTACTTTTAAGACCGAAAATCACTCCAAATCTACTTAAACACTTTATGTTTCATCCCCTATCATATTCTTAACTCACATACACATGTTTAAACTCATTAATACTCATTTATCACATCTTAAACCTCAAAATCCTATCCACCTCATGGAATTCAAGAATTAAACTCAATTTTCAACATGTTCTAAATTCAATTATATCACTTCATATCTCTTAATTCAACCATTGACAAGTCAAATTTAATTTCAAATTCCACTTATCAACTCTATTCCAAGTTTTCATTCAAAAACTCTAAATCTTTAATCTATCTTAACTTCTTAATCCTTTGACTTAAAGTTGACTTAAGCTTTTTTTTAAGCTTAAGTATTATCTAATGATCATAACCAACTCAAAAATTCAACAAGAAATTAACCATATAGAAATCTCACTTTTGCTTAATCCTTCACGTATGAAGAAGAAAGGAGAAGAAGAGAACTTTGGAAACTTTTTCCTTCCTTCCTTCCTTCCTTCCTCATCTCCCACGTTTTATATAACCTACCAAAGAAAGATAAAAATCTTTTTTGTCAAATGACTATTTTACTATTCTTTCTTTTAATCTTTGCTAAACCATCATTCACAAAATATTTCCAATTAAGTCTAAACTTTTAACTTATTTCAAAATCAAGCAAAAAGTTTTCAGAATTTGTATTTTAGTCACTAGCTCTGTTTTGGGATGTTACACTTCAAATGTCCATTTTCCCACCTTTGTTTTTTGGAGTTAATGTTTTTTTCTTCTTTCCAATGTAATATACAAAATTAAGGGATGGATGTGAATTCTGAATCCTGGGACGAAACAGCTTTGCAGTTAGGTCACATATTAGATGCCTTGCCAGACTATAACCCATATATTGGTTTCTTGTTTACAACCAGACCAACCACATTGGTCTACTGCATTTTTAAGTAATCTGAAAGGCACCAAAACCTAAAACCTCGGATCATTTTCCCTCTTTGTTTTCATCTTTGATATAGCCCTACTGTTGTAGTATTTTTTAAGTCCCTTGGATCCTAGGCGAGCGCAGAAGGGGAAGTACTCAATTTTGAACTTGTCCTTTCCCTGTAAAGAAAAAGTAAACATAAAATGTAGTCCATCGCTCCAAAAAACTAACTGGCAATTAATTAAGAGACTGTCCGGTTGCACGGAACACGAACCACATCCGAACGTTCAACAGGCAAAAGCTCACCCGTGAACCCTTTGCTCGGATTTTGCAAATACGGCCTACGTATACCCCACCGTAATCAATAAAGTAATATCATAGCTCTCCATGACTACCCCCACACTATTTAGCATTAGGAAGGAGGTTAATTAACTCAACCCACCCAATGCTCATCTGAAGAAACAACAATGATTCATGATTGTGACCTTAAATCAGGAGGATATGGACCAAAAGACATTTCCCAATCTTAGGAATATTATGCAAAATTAGAAAGAGTCATCCACAAGCAAAGCCAATCGTTGCTCGAAAATATTTATCCACTGCAACTTGCTCTTCTTGTCTTGGATTTTTGGGGCATATTACACTTCATAATCTTATATTATATGGAGTAATACAACTTTTCCCCCTTCATAACATGTTTTCTTCTTTCTCTATCATAAAACTAAACTTTAAAACGAAAAGAAAAACTGCTCTACCCCATAACCTAAACTGCACCTCCTCTTGCTCTTTTGGGTATAGGTTCAGATACTTGCTGCTGCTACCACCCACTATCAATCCACGGACAAGAACTGACGCGCCACCCCATGCTCCGCTGTCCTTCCCATTATATGGGGACAACGGCACACTTCTAAAGTGGAAGCTGAACTTAAACCCACAAACACCCACTTGAAAATGGCACTCCGCTCCTTCACCTTGACGGCGCATGAACCAAAACGAGCGTGGATGGCTTAGCTTTAACACGTTCCATCTATTAATGCAGAAGACGGAAAAATATCCAATGATCGATTTCGCCATGAAGTATTATATATTAAATATCCAAAAGAGACGGACAAATTAACGGCTGACCGGCGGAGTGATCACCGGGGACAAATAAACTTGACTTTGAATCACAGTAGCACCAATTTTGAACCCTGGAACCACCGTGAAACCGACTCTAACATCAGCATTTGCACCGTTGATTTCACCCGATAGGAGTGATTCATCACTCACGTTTTCCATGTAAACCTCAGAGAAGCCACAATATTTTTTCACCTGAAAGATGGAAACTTGTTGATGCATTGAGAATCCCAAGCAATGCAAGAGCCAAAAACGCCTAGACATCTCTGCGAAAGCCGTGAAAAAAGCTGTATCCGGGAACCCACCAGAGGTTACTAGCTTCCTTTGGTTCAAGTTCCCAAAAAATGAACACTCCATTTTGGCATGTACAAGGTTGAGGTACTTGGTTCTGATGAATCTAGCAACACAAGAGTTTGGGTTTTGAACTAAAAACGATTTTGGGTGAGCAGATTTCATGTTCTTGAATGCGTTGAAATACTGCTCGGGGTCGAGTCTTTTTGTGGGAGAATCTGTTGAGAGCCCAAAATCTTGGGAGTTGAAGCCTTCCAACATTGTTTTACACACGAAAGAATCAAATGCAAAGCACCTATGGCTTTCTTTTGCGAAAACAGCTACAGATTCAATGGTTTCTGCAGCTGCTCCGAGATCCCATTTTGCCGACTCCATTTCCTTGACCATCATCTTCACAAAACCCCGTGCAGATCTCAAAGAGAAGTGTAAAACTTGCACAAAATGACCCGGGTTCAACTTGGTAAACTGAATATCATCAAACATCGACAAAGGCGATTTGGCGTTTAATTTCGTTTCCAAGGACTTGTTAAAGGCAGTGCAATCTTGAAGCCGCTTGTGAAGCAAACAAATGTCGAAACTTTTCTCTTCAACATCGGATTGCAGCTTTTTGATGGTGATTTCGTAAGTCCTCATCAAGCTTTGTTGTTCTTGAATCTCAGCAAGCATCAAAGTAACTTGAGGTGAAAGATCAAGCTCTTTCTTCAAAAACTTGCCCTTTAGCTCCGAAAGAGCTCGGAGCTCTTCCACAACAGCTTGGTCAGAAGCTTGAATAGCCTCACTGTTGTAAGGGTGCTGAGCCATTTGCAGCTCAGCGTAAGCAACTTTGATGGAAGTAACACCGGCGAAAACCTTGGCGAGCAGCGCTTCCATGACTGCTTTTTGCTTAGCCTTGGAATAGTCCTCATTGCTTGAAGCTTGGTGTGGGAGTTTGTGCTGGGAAGCAGTGAGAACGCAGATCCCAACCCCATTGCTCGAAACAATTTTCTTAGCGCTTCTAAGATTGATGACTCTCTGGAAAGTTCTTGCTAGCCTGCTCTGGTTGTTGTTGTTTCTTAAAGCTAATTTGGGTTTGATTGTTTCCATTGTGGCGAGGCGAAATTAGAAGGAATTAGAGTTGACAGCACGAAAATGATAACAGAGATCTTTGGTTATTGTGACATAAAAAGAAAAGAAAATATGGGGAAAAAAGAAAGTTAATATGACATGTTTGAAAAGCAACAAATAAGACAGCTTTGAGTATCAAGCTGAAGCTAAAGACTGGTGGGGATTGAAAACAAGGACAGACGTGCGATTTAGAGCGCGGGAAAGAAGATGCAAAGGTCTTAGTTTTTTTCTTACTCCCATGGTTAAACCCTTAAAACGGAGGGATTACTAAAATTCATAGTTCATTACTAAAATTCATAGTTCATAACATAATCATTGAAAAAACACATTTTGGACTTTTTCATTTGAAGAAATGACAGCTTATGAAGCAATGGAATATCATTTTCCCTAATCTTGAACCTCAATACCCTGCAAAACAGTAACTAGTTTTAGTTTTGGGATATGAATATAATAGCAGTGACAGTGGAAGAGATGATGATTGCATGGGGGAGATGGAGCCCACGAGCTTTTAAGGCATTGGGCAGAAATGGAGGTGTTGTCTTGTTTGTTGAATGGTAGGGGAATCGAGGAATAATCTCGTTCTCGTGCATGTTCACTGCCTGCTGTCCCCATTACTCTTCACATTACTTTTTAATAATATCGACTAGAGATTCCCAGTTTATCATACATGAACGTCATTTTCCAGCGAAACAAACAGACAGTTTTACTCTTTTAAGGTTTCTGGATACCATCTGATAAATGCATGTGTTCCATGTCAAAACAAGAGACTTTTTATTTTCCTCATCTTATTTTTCTATGAATTGAAAGTCCTTTGTACTCGAAAAAAAAACTTAGAATTATTATAGAGATGTAAAGATTATACATTAACAAAGTCGCAGACAAATTTTCAATCTGAACCATTCACAAAACATAAGCATGTTTTAACGTGAAAGTCAAGAAACAATCAAATGGTATTGGGTTGTTTATAAACCGTAAAAGATACGAGACCGATTATTAGTTATTTGAGCTCGAATCAATTAACACTTAAATAGAATGGATTTAATATGAATTTTTGACAAGTCGAAACGATTTACTTGATATCTAATTCGAAAATCTTATGGGCAATTCAAAAAGTAATATATTATTTTTAAAAAAAATTAAATTAATTTTTTAATAAATATTAACATTTATATGTTATTTTAAAAAATACAACATATTGTTTTTATGTACTTAGGGTTCAAGTTCAAACTCGAATTTAACTTGAATCAAACCTGAGTTCGAATTTTAATAGAATTAAACATGAGAATATTTGGAATTCAAATTTTTATTTCAAGTTGAAGCTGAAGTTGTGAATTTTAAACCCACAAAATTTTGAGTAGTTATGTTGCACGACAACCTTAATATATGGTTAAGGAAATGTCTTCTTGGAAATATTAATATTTTTTTAACATTTCTAGTATTTACCGGAAATATTAATTTCGCTACCTAATTTATGGTAGAAAAAATAATATTTTAGATAGTGCACAGTGTTAACATTTCCGGTAAAAAATTAATATTTTAGGTAGCGATTTACCGAAAATGTTAAACATTTTAGGTAGCGATTTACCAAAAATGTTAAACATTTTAGGTAGAACCCAATATTAAGAAAAAATAATGTTTTAAGTAGTGCTTTACCGGAAATATTAAAAAAATATTAATATTTCCGATAATATATTTTCTTAACCGTATAATATTAAAGCTGCTATATCTTATACATCCCCAAACTTTTTATAAAGTCCAACTCAACTCAGTCGTTCAAGCTCTATTTGTGTATACATATTGCAAGATGCGGGTTTTACAAAAAAAATTATAATACGCCTAAAAAGTTGAGACATTGGGTGGGTTTTTGTTTTAATATAGTTCAAAGCTAAGGGATGAAAGGACACCATTATTGAAAGCTAAGTGACCCAGGATCCAAAGAGGCCTGTTTTAACACGATTTTTCAAAATTGAAACTCTTTTCATTTTGGACATAATAAATGCTACTGAGATCACAAAGGGTAGAGCAAGTCTTCACTGTATGGAACTCCAATAACTATCTTAATTTATTTTCTAAAAACATATTAAAACCCTTTTGAAATGAGGTCAGAGTTTAAGCACTTAACTAGTATTAATCGAAATGTTGAAGCACCAACCGATTGCTGGGTGAAATCTGAGAGGCAAGGCACAATAGTTACAGTTTTTTTTCTTCTCTAAAATGAATGGAGCTGGCATTTTCATGTGTAAGCAAAATGATGCCTTTGAGATCGAATAAGATAATCAAATTGCGATACAATTAATTAAATGTTTCTGATTTTGGATGGATTAATGTTGCTTGTTTGTTAGGCATGGAGTGGTTAATAATAATCATTAAATATTAGTATATGCATGCATGCAATGCAAGCACGCACGCTAATCGTTCAAATGTTAAACTCACCAATAATTCTCCTTCCCTGTATAATTAAGTTAGCAGTGGGGAATTATCAAAGCGATCACATTATATAAAGTGTGGTAGTTTGAGCAGCGCCTAAGATCCATCCCTCGATGTGACAATTCATTCAGCTCCTTGACGACTGAACGAGGGAGCGTTGTTTCTTTAATTGTTTTTCGACTATTGCTTGTACCGTCTGCTTTGGCAAGCATAAATGTCTTATAATAAAATATGGGGATCCAACGGAAATCATAAAAATATAGTGGTGAAAACTACTGTGAGAGGAGTCATTTGGCGGCAATTTATATCTCTTTAATGCCCTCAAGCGAAGCAGGAATGGACCGACAGATAAATCGAGATAATTATTCTTTTAAAAATTTAAAATTATTATATATATACATAATTTTATTTACTTTTAAAATTTTAAAATTTTGTTCATCTTAGTATAAAATTATGCAACCGTTTCTAAAATTCATGCTATTTATAATAGCTACATGTGATTTTATATGATGCTCAAATCAAAACCTAAATTCTCCAGGTTGTGAGTGACTGAGTGTATTTGGTAAGCATCTTTGGTAGCCACCTCTTTAACAGTTCAACTGATTTTCTTCAGTCCATGGGATGCAAGTGTCCTTTTTGGCTAGCCAGCACTAAAAATCAAGGGTAAACTATCCAAAATGAATCAGTAACCAAGCATGCCTTAACCAATAAGCTAATTATAACATTTAGGAATCGATTATAGTATTAAATATTATATTATAGTTAATGATAAAAAAATAAAAATGAATAAGTGGGAACTTACATCTAGGTCAATTGAGAATATGATAACACTTAAATCACTAAAATAAATCTAGTAGTTTATTTTTAATTAATTTAATATTTAATATTTTCAAAACTAAATTTATTGTTTTCATATTTATTTATATATGTGTGTGTGAAATTATTAAAAAATAATTTAATATTCAAATTATAATCATAAGAAAAAATATTTAATATTCAAATTATAAATTTATCTTTTGATTTTAAATTGTGCTCGTGAGTTTGTGTATGTTAAATAAAATTTAATTTTAAATATAATTATATATATATATACAATCATTAATAAATAAATATTTTAATTGATTTATAATTTGATTACTAACTGGTCTTGGGTTCAAATGCAATTAAGTTATTTTAGTTTAATTTTTTTGCCTAAACATGAACAAGTTATATAGCATATGTATTATCTTGATAACAAATGTGAGAAATGACTCAACGATTAATTCTAAAATATAAGGATTTAATCTATAAATTTAATACACGACTAGAATAAAAGATTTTAAAGTTAATGCTCAAATTAAGTCATTAGACAAATTAAAAATAGAATCATGATCAAATTACATTTAATGAAAATTCAAGGAAACAAATCATATATAAGTAGTGATTGAAATGGAAGAAAAAAAAGTAGGGTATCAATACCACGAATATGTAACTTTATAAGAACCCACATCCTAATTATACCAATTTTTTAACTGCCGCGCAAGAATATCTATATTGAATCAAAAGTTATAGGCCATCATTGCTTGGTCTAATTAGCAAGTCAGATTGTATGTGTGAAAAATATTGTGAAGTAATTATCTGAAATAATTCTAATTTAGTTATATATACATAAATTATTTGATACATAAATTATTTAAAATTTAGATTCTGTAATTTTAAAACTTAAAATCTTAATTTTAAGCCATAGAGTTTAAATTTAAACTCTAAACTTTAAATTATATTCTTTAAATTTAAAATTTAAATACCATTTAAATAAATAATATTCTAAAATCTAAAATTTGTGTATAATTTTCCCCCCAAATATACAGGGAGAAATGGAAGATAAAAAATTGGAGATTTTTTAAAAGGTAAAAAGTGGTTGGAGTTTGATGCGTTTCATATATCTGCAGTGGAATGAAAAGTAAATATTTGTATTATACCATATTTGTTCTAAGAATATTCACTTCACGTCTGGTTAATGTCCCGAATGTCTATGCTTTTGCAAAGACAAGGAGCAACATAATCTGGTCCAAATCAGGCCAAATTCTCTTTAATTCTTTTTCTTTTTGGATTAATCCGCTTTAACAAAGTAACAATATATAACAATGTTATAAGCAAAAGGCTAAAGCATCCTTGATGAACAAGGTTATCATCAACCTTTGGATTTTATTTATTTAGTGTAATGATTTGCTCGAAATCAAAAGAAAAATAGAAGGGACCCGACACGCAAGCATTCTTTGCTACATCATGGGCAAGTTCTGTTCGGCAATCTGATTCAGTAATGATACAAGAGACCTGGGAAAAATTGAATGAAGCTGAAATGCACGTCATTTTTTAAAAAGATAAAATTGAAAACACATTTCACAGCGTAAAATCAAAATAATGAGAGATTATTTAACTTAAAACTTGCTTAGACTACCAAACCTTAGTAAACTTTAGAAGGGCGGGGGCCAGATAGCATCTTGAGAATTCAAGGTTACGCATGCCCCCATTTAAGTGAATCATTAGATAGAAAGGGGAAAAAACAATCTTTGACCTCAATTTTTTATCCATGGGGACCTACTTGTATTTTTTGGATTCTATCCACTGGCTCTCTCCTTCTCAAAGGTTCAGAGTACTGGTATATGATTGTCACCTCAAGCAATACTCCAGTACCCTATGATTGTCACCGCAAGCAAAATTCCAGTACCCGAACTGATTGCTCCCATG